CAGGGAAGCTCGTGGCTGATTCATTTTGATGTACAATAGAAACTAACACAATCTTGTAAAGCAGCTATACTCCAATAGAAATTAATTTATAAAAAAAAAAGTTAAGCAGGAAATTTGGTTACTTCACACAAAAAAATTGTGAGGTTCAATTGTCCCTGGAACTAATTTTGGTTCCCTGATAATAACTGGATTTTCTTGGTCAGAGAAAAAGGAGCTGACTCTGAACTTTAGTCCTACTTCAAAGTAGCCTTGCTCTACTTTTACTTTTAATTTCACTTATATTAATAGGAAATAAAGTCTCCGGTATTTTTCCAAAATGGATACCAGAATTTTACATTTATAAACAAGATAAAATTTAAATCTTATCATTTACAAAAATTAATCAGAGGGACTGAGATAGTTAGAGAAGGCAGGGGGAAAGAATTCTTGAGTCCTTGCCCAACTTGTCTCAATTCAGAGTTGAATATGTTCTCACATTCTATTTATACAATGACTGGTCATTTTAGGATCTAAGCCTTTATTCCTGATAGCTTGGCTAATACTCTATTTTTAGAGCAGACTTTAAATTGTCCAGTGACCCCTTATAAGAAATCAAATTCTATTTGCTGGCAAAGAAAGAGGAGTAATGGCCGTGCCATTACTGTGAGGTGAGTGTAAATTCCCACTTCAGCCTCTCTGGATGCCTTGGATGGAGGGGTTCCTTGTTACTGCTGGGTGGGAGTGGGTCCCATTAGTCCTCCACTGATAACAACTTGTCTATAAAGGGTGGGCATGCCTAGTTACTTTGACCCATGTGCCCCCCCCCCGACTCCAGTGGGAGATGATCTCCTTACTATCACGTGGTGGTGGCGTTGCCTCTTCTGATACCATGCCAGTGAAGAGAGAAAGGCCAACTTGTGACTATGCAGTATTTATTTCTCCTTCATTTTGAAGAATAATTTCAGTAGATACAGAACTCTAATTTGTTGTTGCTTTTTCTTTCAAAATTTTAAATATTTCACTCCATTCTCCTCTTGCTTGTATGCTTTCAAGCAAGAAGAAAAGTCTGACGTAATTCTTACCTAGTGCCTCTATGAGTAAGGCATTCTATCCCTCTGGCTCCTCTGGCTCCTTTCAAGACTTCCTCTTTGTCTTTGATTTTCTGCAATTTGAATACGATGTGCTTTTCAATTTGAGAAGTTTCTACTGACACACCTCCAAACTCACTGAGTCCTTCCCAACCATGTCCAGTCTATTGATGAACCTATCAAAGTCATTGTTCATTATGTCATCATGTTTTTGGTTTCTAGTATTTCCTTATGATTCTAAGAGTTTCCATTTCTCTCCTTATATTACTCATTTGTTCTTTCATTTCATTATCCTCTTTTTCCATTAGACCTCTTAACATGTTAATCATAGTTATTTTAAATTTCCTGTCTGACAATTCCAAAATTTCTGCCATGTCTGAGTCTGGTTCTGATACTTGATTCGTCTCTTTAGACTATGTTTTTTGCCTCATAATTTTTTCTTGAAAGCTGTCGTGATTTAATAGGTTTAAAGGAACTAAGGTAAATATGCCTTTAGTGTGAGGTTTTACATTATCTGTCTAGAGGTTAGGTTGTGTTTACCACTTGTTGTAGGTGTGGTGTCAGGAACTAAAATTTCCTTACTGTTTTTGGTTTTGTCTCCCTGTTGTCTTTTGGTTTCCCTAGAGAACTTTTCTACTACCATCTAAATGTGTATGTCTCCCCAAAATTCATACGTTGACAACCTAATGCTCAATGTGCTGGTGTTTGGAGGTGAGGCCTTTGGGAAGTGATTAGTTCATGAATGCGGAACAATCATGAATGAGTTTAATGCCCTTATAATGAGGCCCAAGAGAACTCCCTTGCTGTGGTAGTTATATTTTTAGTCTTCTGAGGAACTTTCATACTGTTTTCCATAGTGGCTGCATCAATTCCCATTCCCACCAACAGGTACAAGTGTTCGAAAGCTATACTTTAAAAGTTTTTATCTTGCATTCACTTTAAAAACATTGTGACTGTGTAAATAATTCTGGTGGACATTTTTCATTCAATACTTTAGAGATGTTATTCCACTTTCTCCTAGCTTATATAATTTCTAGCAATGTTTGTTTCCAATCGTAGTTTTTGTTCCTCTGTATGTAATATTTCTATTGTTTCACCAGTTGTTTCAAGATTTTCTCTTTATGCTTGTTTTTTATTGCTAGTCTGTGAGGTGCATAGCCATATTTATCTTACATTTGTTTTCCTTAGGGTTCTATGAGCTTTTGATCTGCCATTTTTTGTCTTTTATTAATTTTGGAAAATTCTGGGACATTTTCTCTTCAAACATTTTTTCTGCCTCTTTCTTTACTTCTTCTATTTTATTTTTTTCAATTATGTGCTCAATAAACCTCTTGGCATTGTCCTGTGAGGTGTCTTCAGCTATTGAACACTCAGTTATAATTTGTTTTCTCTTTATTTCTGTGTTTCCATGTGGTTAACTGTTATCAATCTATCTCAGTTTCTCTGATTCTTTCCACCAACTTGTCCACATCTTTTCTGTTAATTCCATTAAAATAAGTCTTAATCGCTGATACTGTGCTTTAATCTTATAGCATTTCCATTTAACTCTACTAATAGTGTCCATTCTTTAAAAAATTTTACATATGTTCATGTGTGTTATTCACCTTTCCACTAGATCCTTCAACATAATAATAATAGCGATTTCAAACGCCCTGTCTGATTGTTCCAGCATTAGGTTTATCCCTGATTTTGGTTCTGTTCCTTGTCTTATCTCATTATAATGCATAGTTTTAACTGGTATGTATTTTTGTTTGTTTTGTTTTTTGCTTGACTCCATGTTTATTGTATGCTTGGCCTTTGTTTGAGCTGCTTAGAACTCTGGTCAATCCACAGCTGTGGTCTTTCACTAACATCTGAGTAGCAGGATGTGAAAATGAGACTCTTCCTCTCAGAATTTTCACTACACCCAAAGCTTAGTACACTAGGTGACAAATAAGCACAATTTCTAAAACAAGATGCTAGACCACTTTTTCTGGAGTTAAGTTAATAGAAACTGAAAAACACTTCATTTCAGTTAAATCAAGTCTCAGTGACTGCCTTCAGTTTAGGAACCCATTTTAATCATTCTTTCTTTTCCAATATTATTGGATTTTTCCTGAAGCAGTTACAACCATGGAAGCTGGAAGTGAGACTCCAAATATATTCTACCCCTTTGTAAGTAATAATATATATCATGTTTCAGAGCCAAACATACGTAAGTGGGCTTACAGTCTTCATCTTGAAACGCACGTCTTTATACCCTCACTGACAACAACAAAAAGCTAATGAAAACAGAAGACAGGAGATCAAGAGAGTCAGAAGAAGACCAAGAGTGATACAGAAAAAGAGAGAAATTTCTTGGATCCAGGTAACTGAGAAAGGATTAACTTTATCTGGCCTTAGGTCATGTGCTCAATCTCCCCCTAAATCACTCTCGGTGGCTCAGGAATTATGAGGTCACGCTAATTTTCCCAGCTTGGGTTTGTCTTGAATCTGCCAAGTTTCATCTCAAGATTCTAGAAAAATCTGTCCCCAATATTGTTGCATATACTTTTAGAATTATAACATGCTTTGCACCTTCAAATATGGTATCATTCTACTTTACAGAATAAGCTTAGGGCAATCTGGCTAAGGATTATTATACTTTTCTAGCTGCTTTTGAAGCTAGATAAGTCTGCATATGGAATATGCGTCAAAGCACTTGCTCTTGGGGAGCCTTGGCCATAGAACTTTGAGACTACACTCTCCCTGTCCTTCCTTCCCCTCACTACAGTCTGAAATACATGTGGTAGTGAAACCCTGCTCCATAGGGTTAAAAACCTGTAACAGAAACTGGTGACTAACAAATTCTTGAGCTCATCTTACAGAACAGCAGGTAAGGGAACAGATCAAAAATCCCTCCTCTTGTAATACAACAAAACTGGCTGAAACAAGGTGAAACCAATATGGCTGATCAGAGTCTGCATAGAATATACTTGCTTGTCCCATAGGTGAATTTTGTCATCACAGCCCCAAATTCTCCAACCTATTTCAAACCAAATCTCCCTGAATTTGCACAGGCGTCCCATGAAGAAGCATGCAACTCAGATAAGCCTGCACAGAACTCCAATTACCTCACCTTTTCCCTACCTCCGATCACCTTTCCCCAAGGTCTAAGACCACCTTGCTTCTTTGTCCCCTAAGTATTCCAAACACCTCTCCTTCTGGGAGGCAGACCTGAGACTTGTTCTCCTGCCTCTTCACTGGGTTGCCTCACAAATAAAATTTTTCCCTGTTGCAAACCTCAGCGTCTCAGTGTTTTGGTTTGCAGCTCCTCGAGCAAAAGAACCTGGTTCCTTAACAGCAGCAGTCAAGTTTTTAAGTTGTAGGTAAGTACAATGCCTTAAAGGATACAGAACAGGATGGAAGGAATCTGAATCAACTCTCAACCCCCAAATTTGCATCCACCCTCAAATTATAAACAGTCCTCCCCCCAACCCCCAACCCCCAAATCTGGATGCACCCTAGTAAAAGAAAGGAAAAGAAAAGAAAAGACGAACTGTAACAAAATAATAGTGAATATGTCTGGGCTATAAAATCATGGATTTTATACACACACGTAATTTTCTTGCTAAGGAAAAAAAATCACCGCGGTTAAAAAAAAAACAACACTTTTTTAAAAAGGAAAGTGAAAGGAAATGAACAAATGAAACATTTTTCAAGTGAAGAAAAATTAATAAAGAAACCTCTTCTCTCACAAAGACGCCCCTGAGAGACAGTCTGTTGAACTCTTTCATCCTACTATTATTTGGGCCACGTTCACCATGGGGTCAAGGACACCTAAGCCACCTGTGGAGAAGGGACAAAGTTGGGTTTACCCAGCCAAGTGTGGAGGAATCCCTGTCTCCCTGTCTTTCCCCGACTTCATTCCGGTTCCTGCTTCCATTAAAGGAAGAAAGAAAAAAAAGCCGTGTCCTTATGTCCTTTCGATTTCGATACTGTTTCTCATAAACCCAACCCATGACGCAGGAGGAACCCTAGGGGCGACCCGGAGCAGCTAACTTGACCCCGGCCGCAACCGCGCCACGTAAGTTTGCTGCTAAACTTTACCTTCCAAGCACATTTCCATTAAATAACAACAATAAATCCCCCAGCGCAGGTTCCACACTGCAGGAGGGGAGGCCGCGGAGGCCAGCGTCGCGCGGAGGGTGTGCGCTCCGGTGGGCGCGTTGCTTGGGCAGCTCAGCGTCTCCTTTTGGATCCGGGGCGGCTGCCAGGCGTGTCGCCGGGATGCGCAGCTCCTCCTCGAGCATCTACGCAGGGCTGCAGCAAAAAGCCCTGCATGGGAGAGGGAGGAGTGCATGCTATATCTTCTGAGGAAAGGGGGCTGAAGTACTTTTCAGAATTGAAGGCCCAAACCCCCGGCCCCTTGCAGGGGGGCTGGGTGCGGTCCCTTCCTCTAGCCCCTCCTCCCCTCCTCGGACACATCCTGACTGCGCCTCGCTGGGCACTGGAGAAACAGGGAAAAGATGGTCCTTGACGTAGAGACAATTTAAATCCTAAACTGACCCTGCGTTATTTTTGTCTTAACATTTGATTTTCCGAATACTACAGAACTGTATTATACGGAATAATTCAATCTCACTCTCACAAAAAAAACCCGATTAATAACTGTTAAGGTCTAATCATGTTTGTTTATCATTGTTTTTCATGTGTGGCCCAAACATTAATCGCATCAGAATAATTTCTGGTACTTGCTGAAAATACAGGGATTGGGGTATGTTAACTATCACTTTAGATAATTCTCCTGAACAGTAACCTTTGGAAACTGTTGATTGCCTCTGCCATCTAGTAGCACTGTTCTTTTCCACTTGTTTAGTTTTGAAGTTAAAAGCTTCTGGTTTTGGTACCTCAGTATACTTTGAATTAAAAAAGAATCTTTGTAGACTCATTGACTTACACAAAGCTTTATCAATATTCAATCTCAGAAATAAGCTCTACAATTTCTCTTGCTTATAGCTATTCAGCTTAAAAATAAAACAGTTATTTTACCAGCAAAAGTGAGTTTATTCGGGAATAGCAGAGGAATTGCAACTTGGGACAAGCAAACTATAGAAAAAGCCATAGGCAAGTCCAACAAAGAAGAACATTATTTTATAGAGAAAAGGAAGGGGCTGGGAAGGTTGGTTTGTAAAGAAAAGTCAGAGTTCAGGGTGATGACAGATTCTCATTGACTGAGTTGCCGGGTAGTCGATTCTTGTAGGAGATGCAATGTACACCTTTTCCTATAGGGGACTATCACTGATGACTCCTTCCAGTGGAAGATTTTTCCCCTGGGGTCTGTAATTGACAATTCTTCCTGTAACTGACCTCCAGGCAGTAGTTCTGCATGAGACCTCCCCCTTCTGGCCTGCTGACTCCATGTGAGTGAGGTTTCCTTGTGATGGGGATGGGTGGGGCACAGCCCGAGCTTGTGGGATCTTAGTTCCCTGACCAGGGATGGAACCAGCGCCCTCCTCAGTGAGAGCTCGGAGTCTCAACCACTGGACCGCCAGGGAATTCCCCAGGTTTCCCTTTATTAATTAACACATAACACTGTTGTAAAAGGTCATGTTTTACTCCCCATCTGTGCTTCCAATCCACTATAGAAAAAGAAAAGAAATTGTACAGAGGAAGCCTGTTAAATAAATTCATGTTTTTTCTAATAAAAAGATTTTAGATACAGTACCTTATATTTCTTGGCAATTTGCAGCTTACAGAATTCATTGACACTTTATAACGCAATGCCTAATTGCTGATTATTGAAATAGCACATGAATCCAGGAAAATTCTTTTTTCATAATTGATAGCCTATCTGTTACCAGCTATACAGTAATGAATCAGGCAAGAATTGTTGCTTTACCTATAAACTGATGAGAAAATGCAGGCTGTGGAGGTAACTTCCTTTTTCAAGGTCTCAACAGACAATAAGTGACTTAAACCCTCCGGTTTGAACCCTGGCAGCCGGACTCCAGAACCTGTTCTTGGACATCCCAGGGCAGCTCTGAGTTCCTCCAGCCTGTCTCTCCCTCCATCCGTGTTATCACTTCTCAGCTGTTATCACTGGTCCTCCCCTACCTGCTCATCTTCCTCATGGGCTGTGTCCTCCCACTTGCTTGCAACCAGGGAGGGAAGTGTCACTGTTTCAGGCCAAAGTTAATCCTCCACTTTCATTCAGAAATTACCCTCTCTGTCTTCAGAGACACTTAATTTTAAAACAATACTTATATAGAACTTACTACGTACCAGCATAATTTTAAGAGCATTGTAAGCATTATGAGATATTTAACCCTCCTAATGACACACTGAATTTTACTTTTAGGGTTACCATTTTACAGAAGAGAAATCTGAGGCACAGAGAAATTAATCTTTCCATTCATCACACAGCTAGTAAAGTATGGGAACATGTGGATGTTGCTTAGTATTGTCTGAGAAAATAAAGGGACAGTTAAAACTCTCTGACTGCTGTCTGTCTCTTGAGATCATGAAACACCCAATCATTGTGATGAAATCATTTAAAGTAGAGCCTGGCCCAGATGTGAGACTGGAAAATATGTAGGCAGACCTTAAAACACCCTGGTTGCTTGCCTTTCTTCCCTGTCAGCTTAAATAATAAGAAATGTCCTGTAATTTCAGTTAATAAATTCATTCTTGCATGCACAACTTTGTTAGGTACCTTTAAGGTCTGTCCTGTTGTGTTTGAGGGAGAGCTGCATTCTTTGTGTCTCCTTTCCCTCACAGTAACTCCTCTTCCAGCCTGTTCCCACCGATTCAGTGCATCTATCCTCATCAAGGTCACCAATCACATTCATTTTTCCTTTGTTGGCAAGTTTTTCCCTGATTCAACTCTATGTGAATTCAACCCCCAACACTCTAAACACCATTCCCTCTCATTTCCTTCTGATCATTTACCATCCTCTAATATACATACATGTATTTTGTTTTTCCACTTTCTATATTATCTGTCTTCTCCACTAGATTAGATCTCCATGAAGCAGGGATTTGTACCCATTTTGTTCACTGTTTGATACTGATCCCCTAAAACAATCTCCAGCACATGGTAGGTTCTCAGTAAATGTTTGTGCAATTAACGAGAGATCAAATCATTCTGGAACTCCAGAAATCGTCTCTGGTCACTCCTTATCTCCTTCATGTTCCATTCTGCCTCTGCGTACCCCCAAAATGTTAGTGTTCTCGTGGCTCCATCATCAATGCTTTGTTCTCTCATTCTATTCACTGTATACGTCACATGGATAAGGTTGCTTTAGGGTTCATGTAAGGACCAATAAGACGATGTACATAATGTATCTGTACAGACCTTGGCACACTAGGCTAAATACTTACCTTTTAGAAGCATACAAAACATAGAAAATTGATATATAAGTTCCAAATGCAGAAGCCTGATGTGCGTCGTGAGAGATAACTTGTGGATCTTGTGTTTTACTGAGCCATTCCTCTGGGTTACAGCTTCCCATGGCGTCTGGATCCACCATAATGGACCCCATCTGCCTGGTGGAAAACCAGAACAATCAGCTGACAGTAAATCCAAAAGCACTGAAGATTCTTGACCAGATTTCTCAGCCTGTGGTGGTGGTGGCCATTGTAGGGCTGTATCGGACGGGAAAATCCTTCCTGATGAACCGCCTGGCAGGGCAGAACCACGGTGAGTGTCGTTTAGTGTTGTTCAAGACCATTTGCTTGGAAGCAGTGATAACACAGGCTGTGGATCATCCTCCTCTAATGTCATGTTAAGAAAGAGCCTAACCCCTCCCACTGAAGAAAACTTCAGATTCTCACCACCAAATTTATAACTTCAAACCCATCTCCCCACAATGTTCACTCTTTTGTCCAGTAATCAAGTGTTCCCAACCCCATGGAAACAGCCACCTCATTCGTCCTGATCCATTGCCATCTGCTCAGGGGCTCATCTTTAACAGTTATTCCCTTCCTTTCTCCTTCCTCACTTTGGCTTTAAACCAGAGTCATTCCAAGCAGCACACAAATATTGTTCAACATGTCTTATTTTTAAAAAGGGAAGGAAGGAAGAACAGACAGTAAAATCCCTATATCCCATATCTCATGCATTCTTTTTGGCTTAATTTCACAGCAAAACTTTGATAAACTATACCCCTTCTCTTTGTCTAACTAGTCTTTTGTAATACGTGAACTCTAAAACATATGGAAGAGTGCATAAAAATATATATACATATAATAAAGTTGATAAAAGCGATCATCTGTTCAATCACCACCCAGATCAAAAAATAAAACATCACCAACACCCCAAAGCACAAATCACACCCTCTCACACCCTCCCTAGAGCTCACCAATGTTTTGATTTTCATGGTGCATTCTTTCGCTCTTCCTATTTAAACATAGTTTTACAATCTATGTAAACATTTCTTAAAAATACCTTAATATTTATGGAGGGAATTTCATTCTGATATTCATTGGGATCTTGCTTCATATTCTCAATAAGAAGTTTATGAGGTTCATCTAGCTTGTCATATGTGTCTGCAATTATTTTCACTCGTTTGTACTTTGCAACTGACAGAGGATACCACAATTTATTCATCCATTTGTTGCTTATGAACAACAAATGGTGTCCTCATGATTATTCTTCCATCTATATCCTGGTGCACGTGTACACTAACTTCCTTATGTTATACCCAGAAGTGGAATTGCTGAATCAAGAAGTATTTATGTCTTCAGCCTTTCTAGATAATATCAAACCTTTGAAGCTTTTTAAACCTTTTAAGCTTTATCAAACATTTAAAGCCTTTTATGCTTTATGTCAGTTTATATGCTTATTAGCAGTAATTTAGAATTATCCACATCCTTACAACATTTTGGTAAAAACACTTTTTAACTTTTGGTGATCTGGTGTCTGTGTAGTTGCATGTTATTTGCCTCACTACAGATAAGCTTAAGCACCTTATCACATATTTGCTATTTGCATTTCCTATTTCAAAAGGGTTTTTTTTCCTACCAAGTTGCCTGACTTGTTTCTTGTTGATTTTTAGGACAATCCGTCTATGTCCTGTTGGGCAGTTCTAAGAAGACCACACACCATTTCTTTCTTAATGCCTTCCTCTGTGGCCCAGCGGCTCAGCACAATTAGTGGGTAGAACCTCAGTCCACTAAACTCTAAGGATCCTTGGGAATATCTCATTGTCTCTCTCCCTCAAACTATCTCTTTCTCTGTATCTCTCTCTCCCCCATCTCTCTCTTTTCTTTCTTTCTCCCTCTCTCTTTTTTTGCTTTGCAATCTCTTATTGGCTTCAAACAAAACATTTTATGTTTGTCTTTCTTTGAGAGGAACTTGATCACCAATCAGGGAGGACACTTTTCCTTGACAGCCTAAATTAATAAATGGGTCATTTTTGGAGGGATTAAAGATTGGAGAACTCTAAGAAAAAGATACATACAAGGGGTTTCAACAACATTCTTGTTTTTCTACTTGAGATTACATCAGGTAACAAGAAGGTGATTTCCCTTACTGAGGAAATACCTAACCTAGTTTTGTTTTAAAACACCTGAATTGTGACTCACCACCCCAGTCATATTACAGGAAGAACAAAAACAAGCAAAGTTAGCACCCAAAGTCGGCTAGCAGAACCAAGTCACTACTCTCTCTCCTTGTGATGACTTCTTGCCTGTTCTTCACCTCACATAACTTGCACTGATGAGCTCCAGTTACACCTTGCCTTTTCTACCTGGGAAAGTTCAGATTTTTCTGCATTGATCAGCAAGCAGTCAAATACCATCACGATGTAGAAGAGTGCAGATCATCTCAGGTCTTACACCCCCTCTGAGCAGAACACACAGGATGTGGCAATTGAGGGGCCTGAGCCGTGCTGAACAATGCTCCCCTAGGTATTTCATCATATCCATTTCCATTCTCAGTTGAAGGGAGCATTGGCATATGGCATATGGTCAAAATCTTGGACTGTTGGACAAGATCCATTACCTGCAGCTTCCAAGGCATATACCTCATATCCTCTTCCCCTGTGGGCTTAAGCCTTTGGAAAGAAAAGCAAGCAGTTCTCACAGGTCTTTTCTGCTTTCCCTTCTATTATATCACCACGTGAGTCAGTGAACAAAGAATTCATCCTTTTTTGAAGAGGAGAACAGAAATGAGGAAAATACATGGAGGAAGTGGAGGAAAAGAAACTAAAAAAGCTGATCTATCAGTCCACGTCCTGAAAGGACACAGATAATCCATTTAAAGGATACCTGAAGATGTTTAATGGAGGGACAATTACAAGGGCACCAGCAGGCCAGAGGGAACCAATGAAGGTACAGAGTAGCCAGAGAGTGGCAGGAACAATGGCCAGGTAGCCTTTATAACTCCTGTAGTGTGAAGAGGCAATGTGTAGATTCCAGAATGTGGCAGAGACCAGAGTTACCGGTTGGAGCTAAATGAAAGGACATGTGACCAAAGTAGAGGAACAGAGACACTGGGACACTGTGGCTCACCAGGGTGGAAGCCAGGGGAACAGGAGACTGACTTCTGATCTCCTGCTGGTACCTCTCACTGGCAAAAGTCCATCAGAAAGTGGGGGAGAAGGGAGCTCTTCAGTGGCAGATAAATATAGAAAGGTTAATAGAGCTAACATTATTTCTGGAATGTGACACAGTTTGAGCCATTAATATTAGGAGGTGAATAGGGGACACAAAGTGCTTCTTGAGAAGGTTCTGAACGTGTACAGAGGTTGGATTTTCTGTCCTTGTTGAAATGGAAGCACCTTCCTCTGAGACAGGCACTCACTTTCCGACAAGTTTACCCAAAGTAACCGCTGGGCAGCCTGGACTGTCTGCTCTTACTGTGTGCTGCTTCCTCCGCTTTCTTTGCAGGTTTCCGTCTGGGCTCCACAGTGAGGTCTGAAACTAAGGGCATCTGGATGTGGTGTGTGCCCCACCCCTCCAAGGAGAGCCACACCCTGGTCCTTCTGGACACCGAGGGCCTGGGTGATGTGGAAAAGGTAAGGCGGGGAGTCCAATAAGCTCTTGATACTCCACTGACGCCTCAATTTCCCACCTCAATTCAACTTTTATAACACGTTCCTATAAACTGCAAATCCAATTAAGAATAATGAGGCTAAAATCTCTTACTTTGAATTTATCCTTTAATAAGATCAATACTTTCGTTATTGGGGATAGATCGCCTTATTTTTAACAGTGGGGTGAAAGATACAACTTAACAAATATTTATTGGGCATCTGAATTCCAGGGCTTTTCTATCACAGTGAGTGAGGTATGGGCCCAGAGCTGAGTTGGGAAGATAAGAAATATGCAGTCTTATCAGTACAGGGAGCCATGGACAAAAAAAGTGAGACCTTACCCCAGCTGTTCAGGTTCAGGAAGACATCCTGGTAGAAGCTATAATCCATGGAGTCCACTGGCTCTACAGGTTAAGGTATATGGGGTTAGAGGTAGGAATCATGAAAATATGTTTTCAGTGAATAAACTATTTTTAAAATCTCCAGAAAAGCTTCCACTATACCAGGAACATTTTATTCTGAGTTTCGGGGCTCTGAAGATGAATCCTTCAATGAATTCTATAAAAACATGAGCTAGACCCACCATAAAAATGTAAATGGGATAATAGTAGGTATTTTGTCTTCACAGTGTTACTTGCAATCAGTCTTTTCTCCTTATTTATATTAATCTGCGTCTAAATTAAAGTAGTAGCAGTGAATCTTTGGCTTTCATCACTGCAGGCAAGGGGTGGGGCATGCATCAAGAAATTGTGAATTTTAAAATCCAGATTTAAAATATTCAATAATCACCTCAGTGTCAGCCCAAGATGGTCTACTGATTCCTACTAGATTTTAGTTTGTATAATCTTCTTCTTGTTATCTAACTGCATTTGTCAGGGAACTAAAGCACACCAAATTGCAAACTGATAGAGCGGAACTACTTGCTGTCCTTACTACATGTAGTGTATTTTGGTAGTATATATAATCTATTCCAAAGTCACTCATGACTTGTCCTGAATCACATTTTCAGCCTCATCATCTATTACCACATGGGTAACCACTACTTCAGTCAAATAAAGTAACCTTATAATACCTCTATATGACCACACTTTCTGGCAGTTGTGATCGGCTTCGGTGGGTCCTTCTACCTGCATGATCCCTATAGCTCCACAAATCCACATTCTGTCAAATCTTTAAAGCCCAGCTATTTTCGTCTTAATACCATCGTATCACTGTCAAACATATTCACTTCTTGCTCTGAATGCACAGAGTACTTTTTCTGTTTTTTTGGAATTGCCCCTTTGTCTTTTACATTATAATACTTGGTTCCATGCCTGGCGGTTTATCATCTTGAATGTATTTAAATGTTCCCAGGTATATCTGCCCCTCCATCTCTCTAGGGCAGGGACTCTCATATGAAACTCTATATCCACACAAGCAGATGCAGTATCTGCTGTTTTCTAAATGCACAAAGAATAGATGATGAATTTAGTTGAATAGCACTAGTCCCTAATATAGCCCATGATCAAGAAAAAAAGTGCAAAGGAATCATGCCCACTTATTACTGCATAACTTCTGTGTTCCAGGCACTGCATTAAACAGTTGACACATTTCACGTCGCTCCCTTCTGTTAACAGCTAATGAAACCGAGGCCCTGAGAGGTGTCAGTGTCAACACCAGAAAGATTTGCATTTAGCACTGTCTTGAAAATTTATGTTATTTGCCTTACTATTGAGTTACAGGACAGCTGTTATAGTAAATGAACAACTGAATGAGAGAATGAGGAGGGGTGTCCTCAGTCCCCTGATGCAATGTACTTTCTAGGGTGACTCCAAGAATGACTCGTGGATCTTTGCCCTGGCCGTGCTTCTGAGCAGCATCTTTGTCTACAATAGCATGAACACCATCAACCACCAGGCCCTGGAGCAGCTGCAGTATCCTTCCAGGAACTGAAGCACCATGTTTCATTGAGTTTATGGGAATAGCAACTGACACTGTTTCTTCTTTCCCATGGCTCCTTTCTCATGGCTGATGAGAAGGGAAAATGGAGCAAAAGGGAATATTGATAAAACTTGTTTGGGGTTGAGATCTGGAAATTGTGTTGGAGGGCACTTCTCATTCCTTAGCTAAGATCCCAGCTACGTGACCGAACTAACAGAGCTAATCAGGACAACATCTTCTGCCAGCTCTGATGAAGTACAGAACTCAAACGAGTTTGTGAGTTTCTTTCCAGACTTTGTTTGGGCTGTACGGGATTTCATGCTGGAGCTGGAGTTAGATGGATACCCCATCACTGAAGATGAGTACTTGGAGAATGCCTTGAAGTTGATTCCAGGTATCAGAGTAGGGCCAGGGTGGGGGAAGGTTCAGTAGGAGATGGGATCAACAGAGCTCTGACATTCAGCACTTGATGTCAATCTTGATTTGGGGTTGGATTGAGGCCATGCTAATGGTGCTTGGTGAATGACTGGTGGGTGTGGCTTCAGTCATTATTGTTACTGGGAAAACCCCAGTGACCAGAGCTTAAGCTCACAGAGGAAATTTATAATCCAATATTAGACCAAATGATTTTAGAAAAACGGACACCATGGGAAAAAAAGGCTCACATACTTATATTACATATTAAGTCTAAGTGCTTCTCCTTTCCTATTTGAGAAATATAATCCATCAAATTGGAAACACAGAATCACAAGATAAACAAAAGAACTAATTTTTGAAATACCTTTAACACAGTGTATCTTACCAGCATACGTAGCTACATCCTTCATATTGATAGATAGGCTATTTATACAATAAAGAGTTCAGAAAAAAAAGCATTGCCATGTCCTTCCAGTAAGACTGTCAGACCCATAATATGTTCTTCCTCATAGTATCACACTCTTCATTCTAGAACCTAACACCGTATATGTCATGTTAATATAATAAATTAGTTACTCAGATTATTTTAGCAGAGAGGATAATGGGTGGTACCTAGAAGCAATATTCATTTTTTAATTTAATCATTTATTCATTGTTTCAAGAAATATTTGTTGAACTACTGATATATGCCCAGAATCCCTTTGTATGATAGTCACGTCCCATGTAAAATGACGCAGAGGATGGATGAGGTCTCCTAGTTTCATTTAGGCTAACCTTACCGTGAGATGGTGTGTGCTAAAGTCATCTCCAAACACATTTATGGTATGTGTACGTTTTTACTCTGATATATAAATCTTCTCTTTACTGTCCTGAGTATCATTTGTCTTCCACGGGTTATTTTCTCAGCAATATCATACATATCTTTATGTCTACCATTACATTACTGACATTACATTACATTACATGCCATTTCTGACATGGGGACTATAATGTCAGAAAAATATTTATGACAATTTCTTGGATTAGTCTATCATTCAAGAAACATCTAATAAAGAGTTGATCCACCGCACGCCATGGAAGGGTAAGGAAAATAATCAGTAGTTTCTTCACTTGGAATGGATTCCTCCCCTTCCTCCTCAGAAGTACTTCCTTCACTCTTAGCTCTGTACAAAAATAAAGCGGGAGGCGGGGGATTTTCCATGTCCTGAATAGATTAGCATAAAGTTGATTTGCGTGATTCAATAATAGGAGATACACAGGCACAGCAGTTACAGTGATGCAAAGATCCACAGAAATGAAAGTCCTCAGCCCCCTCACCTGAAAGCTGTTCCTTCAGTGATTGCTCTCTTTCCACTCCTGCAGGCGAGAATCCCCAAGTCCAAAATTCCAACATGCCAAGAGAATGTATCAGGAAGTTTTTTCCAAAAAGAAAGTGCTTTGTCTTTGACCGGCCTACAAGTGACAAAACATTATTACTCCATATTGAGGAAGTGCCAGATAACCAACTGGATGAGAATTTCCAGAAGCAATCAAACCATTTCTGCTCATATATCTTTACCCATGCAAAACCCAAGACCCTAAGAGAAAGAATCACTGTCACAGGGGGAGGTGAGTCTCCTTTGCTACAGCATGTCTCTCTGTGGTTCAGTGTGTGTGATGAAGTTGTGATTGCACTCTGGGTTTGTCAGCAATTGTGATTTCTTCTCTGTGTAACTTGGAAAGATGTATGTTCATGCAACACATGTAAATGCATGTTTCTTCATTAAAAGAAGCCTATGTAAGGCTACCAAATCTCATGAAAGTATTACACTAATGATGTAAAATTTAAAGATTGAAATCTTCATGGTGATGAGGTGTCTGACAGGATAAGTGTTTCGAGTGAGGATATGCAAGATATTTTGTGAATTTACATGAATCGGAAAATGAATAGTAGTCCATGAATCCATGTAAGCTCATTGAGAGTCTGAGAAACAAATGTAAATACAATCTTATGTACAGGGCTGGCTTCACGGACATGAAACCTGGACAGTCACAGTGTAATGTGCTGAGATGGGCCCTGCTTGGTTTAATGTTTGTGTCACTGCCCTGAAATTCTTGATGACATTTTCATCAAGACATTTTCATTTACAAATAGTGTCCACAAGTAATGTAATTTACTTACAGGTTTATTTTATAAAAATGGGAAAAGTGTTCTGGGAGACCCTTGAGCATATCGTTTGAAATCATCTGGCTAATATTGTAACGGGATGAATTTGAGAACCATAAAAGGTAGAGTGAATAGGAGACACAATAATGTTATTATAAAGAAGTGGATTCATAGAACAAAAAGGAGGAGGCTACAAGAATGAAGAAAATGAGGAGAAGAATAGATAGAAGAAAAGAAAACTTCAAATTCAATAAAATTTTAGTGATTTTTAGAATGCTAATCTCTAAAGCTATTAAAACAGGTGAGAATTCTCTCTCCATTTCATAAATATCATGTCTCAATCAGGGTTGGGGACTCTGGTGGTGGCCTACATAGATGCCATCAACAGTGGAGGAGTTCCTTGTTTGGAGAACGCAGTGATAACTCTGGCCGAGCGTGAGAACTCAGCGGCCGTGCAGAAGGCAGCCGACCACTACAGTGAGCAGATGGCCCAGCGACTGAGGCTCCCCACGGACACGCTCCAGGAGCTTCTGGAGGTGCAGGCAGCCTGTGAGACGGAAGCCATTGCAATCTTCTTGGGGCGCTCCTTCAAGGATGACAAGCAGACATTCCAGAAGAAGCTGGTGGTAATGCGCTCTGGAATATATCCTTCCTGATTCCTTTCTTCTGGAATGATACCTAGACTCCCCCCTTTGACACCATGGTTCATGTGCTTCTCATCATATAAGGAGTTTAGATTCTAGTGAGTGATAGGGCTCTACAGGCTACAGTCCATCTCTTTTCTAAAAGTTGGGCTTTTAGTTTCTGTTGTGGCAAAACAAATTACACCGTACTTAGCAGCTTGAAACAACACACATCTATTAGCTTATAGTTCTTCAGGTCAGATACCAGCCCAGGGTCTATGGGTGTTCTGCTCCGTGTACCATAGCTGAAAACAAGGTTCAAGTGGGCTTGGTACTCACATGGACGCTCTGGGGAACCCCCCTCCATCTTCAACCCAGCAGTGGTGCACGGTTTCCTTCTTTTGTTTCTAATCTCTCCGGCTACCTCTTCTGCCACCAACTGGAGAAAACATCTTTTAAGGGGCTTGTGATTAGGTAAGGCCCACCTAGGTAATCTCCATTTCTTAAAGTCAACCTGTTCCATGTAATATAGTCTAAACACAGAATAATTGTTCATCATCTTCAGAAGTCTAGGAACTATGCGGAGTGTGGACACCAGCAGAGAGAACTCTTGGCGATCGTAATTCTGCTTACCATTGGCACCTTCACTGAAAGTTTGACTTTCAGTCTCCCTTGACCATCCTATAATTTACAAAGATCTCTTAGTACATACAGAGTAAAACCGGCTCAATTGTAATTTAGAAGTACAAGCAAAAAAATTTCTGTTGCTATAATTTCACACACTCAAATCCTCAATGAAACAAGAATTCAAAAAGAGTTCAAAACTCTGTTCAGTGTATACTTAATTCATTAGTAGGAAGTTGATTTGCTATGTACATATTTTTATCCATAGCACCCAAGTTTGAAGAGGAAACCCTACTTCCATTCATAATTGTACTTTCATTATTTCATTGTTGATGGATGGATCACTATTAGTGCTACTACTGTTAAAAGTAGTAGTTTGCCTCTGCCAACCGCATCATTGCACACATGTTGAGACTGATCCCAGGGGATTTAAGGGACTTCATACAAATCACACAAAGAGTTTGTCAGAACTGGAACTAAAACCAGACTCCTGACTCCACATCTGTTATTCTGTGTCTCATGTACCTGATGCTGTCAGACTACTTCTTCCAAGAGGATCACAGTTGGATCTTCCCTCTAACAGCTTCTTTCTATTGGATTTCCCCATATTTCCCTGACAGGACATCATGGAGAAAAAGAAGGACGTTTTCATGATCCAAAATGAAGAGGCCTCTGTCAAACATTGTCAGGCTGAGCTTAAGAAGCTTTCAGAATCCTTGATGACAAGTATTTCAGGAGGAACTTTCTTTGTCCCTGGAGGACACAGTCTCTACTTAGAAGCAAGGAGCAAGTTTGAACAGGACTATAAACTGGTTCCCAGGAAAGGAGTTAAGGTGAGGGGTAATGGGAGTGGGAAAGAACAGAAGATTGGAGTCAGAGGGTCTTTTTGGTTCATTTGGCTGCCAGGTCCTGCTTTGTGCAGAGGCTGCTGGTCACAAGGAGGCTGACTGTGGAACCCCGGGGGGCTCTGGGTCTAGTGCTGCATTTCTGGTGAGCAGAGTAAGTGTCCAGGAGACCCCAGGACTGTTGCCTGCGCACTGGTGGGTGAGGCCAGGTCCTAGGGCTGGTGCCAGCTTTCTGGAGGACAGAGCCAGATCCTGGAGTCCGGTTGCAGGGCCCAGGAGTCCCAGAGCATGTGTTGGATCACAGTTGGGTACAGCCAGTTGGGCTGCTGGATCTGGGGTGTCTTGAAGCTTCTGTTGGCCTCATGTTGGTCCAGGCCTGAGCCCAGCTGGTCCCAAGGCAGGATATAGCCTGCTAGTGGGTGGGCTGGCCCTGCAGACTGAAACTGAGGTTTTATTGCAACTGGTATCTTCCTCCTGGTGTGTAGAGCTGGGTCCCAGGGTCTCTGGCTAAAGGGCCCTGGGGGTTTCAGGTCTAGTGCCTGTGGCCTGGTGAGTGGGACCAGGTCCCTGGCCCTCTGGTGGGCAAGGCCATGTCCAGAGGCGACGGTGGGCTCAGGAGGTCTGCTGGTGGGTGCGGCTCTGTCCATGCCCAGTTAGTTGCTTAGCCTGAAGCATCCCAGCACTGGCGCCTGCAGACCACTGGACCAGGGCAGGGCTGGGTCTTGGGGCTAATAAGCTAGGGGAAATATCCCAAAATGGCGAATGCCAGCACCCATGTCCATGTGGTAGAAGGAGCTCCCAAAAATGGCTGCTGACAGTGTCTATGTCTCTGGGGTGAGCGGCAGTTGCCTTCTGCCTCTCTAGGAGACTCTCCAGGGTCAGCAGGTAGGTCTGACGCAGGCTCCTATCAAATTACTGCTTCTTCTCTGGGTCCCGGAACATGTGAGATTTAGAGTGCACCCTCTGAGGGTTAAGACTTTATTTCCCACAGCCCTCTGGGACGCCTGAAAGTTAGCCCCATTGGCTTTCAGAGCCAAAGGCTCCGGAGGATTGTCTTCCTGGTGCTGGATCCCTGGCTGCGGCACCCAGCGTGGAGCTCGGACCTCTCACTTCTCTGGGAGAACCTCTGAGGTTGTAATCATTCTCTTGATTGTGAATAACCCACCCGGGGGTATGGAATTTGACTATATTGAGACTCCACCTCTCCTACCCATCTCACTGTGGTTCCTTCTTTATATCTTCAGTTGTAGGAGATCTTTTCTGATAGGTTCTGTCTTTTTCACCAATGGTTGTTCTGCAAATAGTTGTGACTTCAGTGTGCCTGTGAGGGGAGGAGAGCTCAGGATCTTTCTGCTCTACCATATTGCCAAGATAATCAATTTAGTTCCCGCCCAAAAATGAATTAGGTACTACTGTCATCCCCACTATAAAACTGAGAAATATGAGGTGTGGAAGATTTACTAAGTTGCCTAAGATCACACAGTCATCAAGTGGTAGGGCTGATAGGGCAAATGTAAGGTCTTGGCAGTCATTCAAAACTCAGAATAAAGCTTAGGAAAGCTTCCTGGAAGAGGCAATAGAAGCTACAAGTTGAAGTATCCATAAATGAAATCGTAATAAAGAAAGAGTAGATGAGCATTAGTCGGAAGAAAAACAATGTGCAGATATAGGAGTTGCACACAATGGAGGGTGGGTGTTTGTAGAATTGCACATAATTCTGGCGTCTGTAACCATTTTGGGATCCTACAAAGGATGGAGAAGTTAAAGGGTCCAATCTGTAGGTTTACTGAACAATAATTTCCTCAGCAAGACACTACATCTTTTGCCGCCTGACAAGTCTTTGCTCCTTGTTGTGTCCTCAGGCAAATGAGGTCCTCCAGAGCTTCCTGCAGTCCCAAGCAGGAGTAGAGGAAGCCATCCTGCAGGCAGACAAAGCCCTCACTGATGGAAACAAGGCCTTGGCAGGTACAGAGGAGGGCTGAGCTCACAAAGGGAAAGGTGGCTCTTGTGCTTCCCTTTGGCAGGTGTGAAAACAAACACTTCCTCACACGGGAGCTTCTTCTCCTTCTGTGGGGCCCCTCTGCTACATCTGGAAATAACCAGGGGAGTTTGGGTTGCATGTACATCCAATCAGTGCCCTTGCATCACACGCTAAAGCATGCTTTCTGATGTGATAGTAGGAATATTCAGATTCCTTCCCACCATTTTAAAGTCATTTTATCTCTGAGCTAAGGAGGTGACAGCTCAGCATAACTGTTATATTCTTCCCTCTTTAAAACTCTTGTGAAACAGTTGAGTGTGCCAAGAGGCATGCAGCTGAGAGGGAACAGCAGCTGCTAAGAAAGAAACAGAATGAAGAGAAGCAAAAAATGGCGGCACAAAAGAGAAGCTTCAAGGAAAACATGACCCAACTGGAAAAGAAGATGAATAGGGCAAGAGAAAACCTTCTAGAAGAGCAGGAAACAACGCTGAACCACAAGCTGAAGGTAAGTCTGGATGGGCCTGGGCAGGGCCTGATGGACAAAATGCTAGCCTCTCAGGAATAAAAGAACAGAAATTTGACCTTAAGTCAGATCCCAGAGGGAAATCCAAAGACATATGATTCTCTGTAACATCAAAGAGATGTGGATCGCGCTGAAGACTTACCTCTGTAAGACTCAGCACCTTCTGTAGTGTTAGGGTTTGGAGCATACAAATAACATGGCCCAGGCTCCTGGACTGCTGTTTGTGGTGATTATAGGCTCGCATTTGCCCCCAAGTGAATAGCACCTCAGTCCTAGAGTCCTTAGAAATTTTGGTACAACCATCAGAGACCTGGAATAGTTCCATCTGCTCTTGAAAGTATCACATTGTGCCTGGTTTGAAATACTGGATTCTGAAAGCTCTAAAATTTGCTGCATTCATTTCCAGGTCTGCCTGATTCATTTTAAATACCTGGAGTAAATGCGTTCTTTGTCTCAACCTGGAGTTTGATAGACAGTGTCCTAAAGAGAGTCAGCAATGCCATTTTTGTGACATATGTGTGGTCATCCTACCTCAATGAAACTGGCAAATATTTAGAATTCACCTACATTCCCTCCCAAAGTGCATTATTAGGGCTGGAACACAGTCCTGAGGTAGTTTTCAGGTCTCACCTAGGCCCATCTTTTCTGTGCCCAGGGAGATGGTGTTGAGGGAACTTGGGAAGCTCTAAACCCTGGATGCTCTCACTACCCAGGTCCAAACATTTGCAAATATTAGACAAATGTCAAAAAGCATCTAAGGTATTATAGAAATAGACACACGTACTTATCTGCTGTAGTTGTTTGATACAAAATCTTGATTTGGGCTATTTTCAAAAGGGATTCTCCTTTTTGCAGATGCAAGAAGAACTACTTACAGAAGGATTTAAAAAGCAAGCTGAAGAGTTAAATAAAGGGATAGAAAAACTAAAAGCAGCCATTGAAATAACTAAAAATAAGTCCATAAATGTTTCAGAGGTCCTTGATGTGGTTAGCATGGCATTAGTTGCAGTACTACCTGGGAATCGTAAATTATTTGCTATGGGAGTGAAACTTCTCAGTCATGCTATGAAAAGGGCTGAGAATCCCTATTAAGTATATCTTGAAAGGCTTCTTATGTTTTAATAGTGTAACACTGTAGCTCATTTTTTAAATATGTTGTCATGACAGTTTTGTTGAAGAGGAGTTTAAAAATAAAAACTGATTACCAGAGAATTACCAAAGTGATTACCAGGGCCTGAAATGCAAAAAGAACAAACAATTTTGAGAATTAGTTAAGTTAAAGAAATGGAAAACAAGTTGGAGGATAATGATTAATTATAGAAAAGTGTTAAGAAGAGCAAAAAACCAAATGGTAAGAGGAAGAACAGTCGCAATCTATGATACAGTCATGGAGATCAATTCATTAAGTTATAAGGAGCCCTTATAAATCAGTGAGGAAAGAGCAACAAACACAATATTTTAAATGTGCGAAAATATACCAAGAGAATAAGTGTGTTCAACTTTACTGATTATAAATGATGTACAAGGTAAAATCAGGAGGTATCTGTGTCACCTCTCAGATGGGCCAGGAAGTACAGTTTGGACAGGGCACCAGCTAGCAAGAGTTCCAGGAAGTTGGCAGTCTCTGATATTTGCTAGGGAGAGTGCAAACTGATGCAAATATATACCAAAATTTTAAATGCAAATACTGCTGATACAGAAGTCCACATTTAGGAATTTATCTTACAGATTTATTTACCCAAGTTGAAAATGGCTTGTGTAGTAGTATATTTGTTGAAGGATTGTTGTAATTCCAGAAGATTGGAAACAACTTTCAAGTCTCTCTGTCACATACTTGTGAAGTAAATCCTGAGACACACTTACAAAGGAATACTCTACAGTCACTGAAATGGAAAGGGAAACTCTTATTTGTGCTAACATGAGAAAATCTCAAGATGCAGAAAGTGTGTATAGTTGTATTACCAATTTAAAAAAATAATGAGGGGGCTTCCCTGGTGGCGCAGTGGTTGAGAGTCCGTCTGCCGATGCAGGGGACATGGGTTCGTGCCCCAGTCCGGGAAGATCCCACATGCCGCGGAGCGGCTGGGCCAGTGAGCCATGGCCGCTGAGCCTGTGCTCCGCAACGGGAGAAGCCACAACAGTGAGAGGCCCGCGTACCAAAAAATAAAAATAAATTAATAATAATAATAATAATGAGTATATGCATATATTATCATCTATCTTTGGAAAATACAAAAGAAATTGGTATCCATGAACATAACAGGAATGGACCTGCATATTTGAGGTAAGACATGAGAGGATAACTAACTTTGCATGACACATTCTTCTGTGCCTTTTATATTTTCTACGAATTCTTGCTTATTGAAACGTAAATAAATACAGTTATTAAAATCAGAAATAATAATACATGGAATGCAAAAGTGCCCATGACAGGATGAAAGTTTTTTTTTTTACATTTATTTTATTATTTATTTATTTTGCCTGCACCAGGTCTTAGTTGTAGCATGCAGGATATTTATTTATTTATTTATTTTTGGCTGCATTGGGTCTTCGTTGCCGCGTGTGAGCTTTCTCTAGTTGTGGTGAGTGGGGACTACTTAGTTGCAGTGTGTGTGCTTCTCATTGTGGTGGCTTCTCTTGTTGCGGAGCACGGGCTCTAGGTGCACGGGCTTCGGTAGTTGTGGCACATGGGCTCAGTAGTTGTGGCTCCAAGGCTCTAGAGCGCAGGCTGAGTAGTTGTGGCACACGGGCTTAGTTGCTCCTCAGCATGTGGGATCTTCCCAGACCAGGGCTCGAACCAGTGTCCCCTGCATTGGTAGGTGGATTCTTAAGCATTGTGCCACCAGGGAAGTCCCAGAATGAAAGTATTAAACACTACTAGAAATAACATGCCAGCTCAACAGGAAAAATCTACTTATTACAGCCAGAAACAAAAAGTATGAGATGTGCATCCTAATTTTCTTGTCATTTGGGGCTCTTGGTAAGGCCTGGAAATTCTAGTCCCTAATTTATTTACAGATAAAACGTCCCCTGGGATGTTGGCTAAAATGTTCTCTAAATACTCAGGTTTATAAAGATGGTGATTTCAAAGGAAAATTTCTCTTCAAGTTCAATGCAGCAATTTAGGAATTCTTCCCAGCTGTCTAATGCTTGACACTTGTACTTAGAATAAACTGCTTATAATTCCACGATTCGACAAATTCTTTTGATTCAGGGATATTGCACACAGGACACAGACTTCACTAGATACCCTGGCTTCCTCCCCCTGTGCCCCTTATTTGCTAACATCTGTTATTCCTTACGGTCTCTGATTTCCTGAGACTGGGTGTGGTGTCCCTCCTCTGTGCTGCCATTGTACCATGTTTCCCTCCGACCACAGGACTTTTTATATAGTTGTGAAACTGAAATGACCTATTTACATTTTGTCTCCCCTACCGAGTCATGATCTCATCTACTTGATGATCCTCACTGTATATTTAGCTCCCACCACAAAGCCCACCACATAAGCCCCAGGTGTTCAAACAATGCATGTGAATAAATACATGAGCTTCCACCCATCAGGGCCCCAAATTGCCATTTCCTTACTCTATTAACTGCTGCCTAGGGTTCTCAAGATGAAGTACACAGTTTTAGGAACTAGTACTGAAAGGAATCGGGAAGAAAGCACATGCATGCCTGTCTGAACCTGCTGCTCTTCTCTCCTTGAGAGAGGGACACTCCATGTGCTCTGAGTTACTTAAACTTTTCTCCCAGGAAACTTAGCCAGCAATGAAGCCACCACCTTTGGCTCACAGAACAATGATATTGTTTAAAATAGTAAAGAAAGAGCCAGTAATTGGCAAAGCTCTCATTGTCACCATAATTGTCACCTGTTCAAGGAGCTTCCGTTGAAAGAAAGCTAAGCTTTTGGTACGAGGATCAATTTCTCACTGAACATGACACCCACAGGCTGACAGACTGTGGAATCTATAGGATGGCTCTGCTTTCTTAAGGGTTGTGAGTTATGCTCAGTTGCCATTTCTCTGGAATAAGTCCTGCAGCTGGTCCAGTCCCCAAAGGCCCTCTGGTGTCACCTTTGAGGTGGAGAAATGCCCTGAATACCGAATGTCTGATTGGTCTGGAAAAGGGGGTGAGGGGGCAGTAATGAGTTCTGCTTCCCCATCAAATCTCCCCAACACACATGACAAGCAATGTAAATAAGAAACATGCACACAAGTCGGTACCATGAAGTGATCATGGTTTAGAGAAAGGAAGGGATCAGGAGTGAGGGAAAGGACAATTATAGCAGAGTGAAAGGAATCTTCACTACTTTGATGTTCAGTCATAAGTGGGCATCTGTTGGAATAAAGTTATATACATCTCAAGACAAGGCTTCAGGTGAAAGGCATCTTCCATACTTGATAATTAATAAATAATTGTTAAATTACTGAAGAAATCAAAGATCTATACAAGTACTTGTTCAACAATTTTGTAGGAAGGCAGCATCACAACCATTCTTTCACACAGTATTTTGGAGCAGGAAGAAATGAGCTACTCTGGACATTTCTACTTTCCTTTCCCCTTCTCAAATTTGTGCATAGCCTGTCTCACAAGTGCTCTCTCACCTGTTAGCTGGGTATTGTACAGTCCTCACAGAATGTATTTATTAAGGAGATTCTTCAGTGTTACAGATGGGTTACAGGAACTTATTAGAAATGCAAAAAAAAATAAAAGAGGCTTCTCTTCAAGAATACAGGAAGTAGCTTCTTAAGGAAGCAAGGCTGACAAGACAGTGTCAGGTGGTCTCCTTTGGTCTCTTCAGGCTTAGGTTAAATTCTGCTCATTGTGTACATTGAGTGTAACACAGGCAAGAACATTTAAACAACCAGTGTGCAGCCTGGGGAAGTCCTTCTGTATGAAGCAAAGGCACAGTCCATGGTGGATGCCGCGAGCAGCTGTGGCAGGTCCTCTGAGCTTGAAGTTCTGTCAGGGTTTGGGTCCCCTCTGGAGTGCAGAGAAGCAGGACAACAGGAGCGAACGCAGGAACATGCACACTTGGCAGGAGCCACTGCCCCTGCCCTACCTTATGTCCTGTTCATACAAGGGGGTTGAGACCTGTTCAATTCTCTATTTTAAGCCACACTGACTTCATTATTATTATTGACTGTTATGCCAGCTAGCAAACTCTTTTTGTTAATTCAGAAAAGAAGACATCCTGTACAAAAATCACCTTATCTTAAGACGTTTTATTCTAGATTTGGTAAATTCACATTCTATAAACCACCCTATGGGTATAAATTGGAGTCAGCGTGTAAAACTACGCAGCACGCCTATATTCCTGAACTATTTTAATGTTAATTACCACATGGAAAAAAGTAATTATTTCCAGTTCCAAGCTGCTATTGTCTTGAATCTTTGTCTCCTACTTGGTCACTAGAATAAAACACCTTTATTGTACCCTCCAACTTCATCAATTGCCTCTGGTTTCCCTGATTTCTGTCCAAATCAAGAGGACTAGTAAAATCTCTCATTGTGGTCACATTTCCTATGTAACCTACCTGATTAAGATAATTCATCTGTGTACATTGAACACTATATATGGCCAACTTTGTACAGTGTTGTTGCTTCGTAAATACTCATCTAATAAATGAATGAAAGATGGATTTCAATACCAAACACCTAGCAGAAATTTTTTCTTGAAACAAAAGATTTTTGTTTTGCAAAAGATAAATAATTTACTGCTGTGTATGTGTTCTATGACTATAAAACAATTCAAAATCATTTTAAAACTTCACTAGTCACAGAAAGAATAAAAATAGTAAACTAAAATCCCAGCCATGAGCTAGAAATGCTGTTACTACTGAAACATATAATGATCAAGGATTTTTTATTAGTTTATAATTTTTTTCATAAATAGAATAATTTTGTACCTATTATGAATGGAATTATTCACAACCAACATGCCTAAATTTATCTATAGACAATAACTTTGGTCATATGGAAAGGTATGGGCACTGTAGGCAGGAAATTCATTCTTGTGTATTATTGGTGAATTAAAAGTCTTAACAAAAAAATCCTCTCCATAACAATATAAATAGAAGGAAATTTGTTATATTATTGAATAAGCAGTACCTAGTACATGCATATAGGTAGATTGAAATGACTAGAAAGAATAAAATAATGTTACTTATATATGCAAGCATATATGAATCCTTTTACATTGCACAATTTTTAGCCAGTATATAACATGTTTTCTTAGAATCAGTTGTATCCTGTTTTTCCATAAGTAGACTGGACAGCACAGTTTGCTGTTATATGATGAACTTTTTGTACCTACCTTCATAGAGTTCAATCTATGCTAACTTAGGAACTGAGTATCCATTGTTTGGTTAATTGCCCTCACCTAAAAGAATAATCTAACTTCTCTTATCTCTCTGAGAAGAAATGGTTACAGCCAGGATTGAGCCTAGGTTAAGCTCCCAAGGTGTCAGGGAGCCTGAAGCTCTAACTTTCTAGGTGTTCACACTTCAAAAAGGATGGAGCCCAAACACTTGGAGACTTCTCTGGGTTGTTAAGCTGCCAATGGTTTTAATTAGTTCCTGCAAAGTTTTACTGACGTTCAAAATTTTAGAGAAAGTAGATTGGTCCAACAACTATGGAAAACAGTAGGGAGTTTCCTCCAAAAACTGAAACTAGAACTACCATGTGACCCAGCTATTCCAATTCTGGGTATTTACCCAAAGAACACGAAAACACTAGTTCAAAATGATATATGCACCCCTATGATCTTTGCAGCATTATTTGCAATAGCCAAGATATGGAAACAACCTAAGTGCTTGTCAACGGATGAGTGGCTAAAGAAGATGAATAGTTTATACATAAAATAAGTGCTACTCAGCCATAAAAAAGAATGAAATTCTGCCATATGCAACAACAAGGATGGACCTTGAAGGTATTATGCTAAGTGAAATATCGATAGCTCAAACAGAGAAAGACAAATACCATACTATTTCACTCATATGTGGAATCTAAAAAAAGCAAATGAGCAAATAAAATAAAACAAAACATACATACAGCAGAC